GAGCACTAGGGAGCAGCCATTGAGCCCAGGGCTACACCAGTATCTCAAAAAGGGAGTAGTCCAACTAGTTTGGGGGTGTAGCCAGGGCTTATCCCATTCTCCATCCCCACGTCTGCTGGAACCCAGCAGAAGTTAAGGGGAAAGTGCCCCCTTTGCCCTACAGGACCCTCATTTCCTAGCTTGGGTATGCCACTGACTGAGACAGTGTCCATTGTTTAGGGAGATGGATCTGTACTTGGGCTATTGGAAGCATCTCAGCCCCAGGGCTTGATTACTTGTGTCACTTGATTATTTTTTCAGACAAGCCCCCCCACCATTTGTTCCCCGTGCTCCATGTTCTATGGGAAGCTGTGCACTCCTGGGGCCAGCTTCCCCACCTGGAATGGAGAGATTACTTCACAGGCACAACAACCAGATTCACTTTGAGATCCTCTGCCAGAAGGTGTTGTGTATATTGGGCAGACTGCACTATCCCAATCTGAGTCACTCAGAGCCAGTACAACAGTATACATAACTTGCCTGTCACCAATCCCTATAAATACTCCACAGCTTCCCCAAAAACCCTATCCTTTTTCTGACCAAGTGAAGCGTTTTGCATTTGACCGAGTCAAATGAGCAAATGTGCTGTAGTGTTCAGAGTGTGAAATCCCTGTAAGGAGGGAAACATAACTCGTGACACAGCACGTCCGTCCATTTGCTACGGAAACTATGTTTGGTAAGTATCAGATGTCCAAATTTCTGCTTCTGTGCACAGCCTGGGAGAGCTGTGTATTAATAACACAGGCAGCCTAAAAACAGCATCACAAGTCAGCCTGCTCCAGTGAGCTTATTGCCAAAGCATTGATTATTGAGCTTATTGCCAAAGCAAGCTGATTATTACTGAGCGCTATTTACACACCATCATAAGCAGGCACAGCACCTCACACAGACAATTCTGTATCCCTGCTCTGTGGATCTGATGCTGTAAATTAGGTTCAAAACAGCAAGGGAGGATGCTAAAGGGAGTGGAGATGCGGACTAAAGCAGTAACTGAGCGGATGGATCTATGGTTACGGTATGCACAGCTCTCATCATGACTCTTCGGTGAGATTTGTTGTAAATGCAGAATGGATGTCCAAAATGAAAGTTAAGAGTGGAGTTCAGCAATGGAAGTGCTGGCTGAAAGGAGTGGCTCCTGGGGAGGGATTTGGAGGATGAGGTTGACTAGCTGAATTCCAGTGCATGACTTATGGGATTAGACAGGATAAAAAGCCATTGAGTCACATGTGGGAGGAGATGGTAAAACTCTTACTGATTTCAGCATATGCATATCTGGCCCATAGGGGAACTGAACTGGCAGAGCGCAGGGCACACAGAGGGGGAAAAGGGGTTATGAGATCAGATAGGTAGGGGGCAGAGCACTGCCAGGTTTTCAAAGGGCGAGGAGTTAGAACATGTTTCAAGAGGGGAATGGCTCTTACTGAAGAGACTGCACAGTAAGAGTGAGAAAGAGGAGTTTGCTGGCAGCATATTGGATAAACAAATTTAGCTCCTTGTGTCCTCAGTCAGGACTGAGCAGTGTTATTTCTACCAGCGTCAAAGTCCTTTTGATAAAGAGCCAGGCATGATTTCCAATAAGGCCATCATGACTTTTGGAGGGTCCAGCCACCACCATGGTACACGGCTTGCCCATTCCTGCAGAGAGCTTTGAGTACCAAGCCAGTTTACCAGCCATACCAATCAGATCTAGTGCAGCCTAGATACTAGGAACTTTTGGTAGAGTTTATTTTATTTGATCTTGGGAGACCACTCCAAGATTCCCCCATTCTGTTCATCAGTGCAGTGGGGTCGGGGGGAGGGGAGGGGAAGAGTTGTTTCCACATCAGTGAAATGTATTGCCATCCAGTGTTATAAGGTTCTTTAAAGCATATAAAAAAACCAACACCATCTTGGTGAGTATGCCTTCCTGAATCGAAATATTACTCATAATACAGTAGGCTGTTACTCAGATTAATTTACAGAATGCCATTTTTGAAACCTTTATACTTCGAGATAATGTTCAGGCTACATTGATCTGGTAAGTTTTTTGTTACATTAAGTATTTAAGGTTAAGAATAAGCATTTTAAAGGTGACCTGGACAGAATGAATAAATTAGATCAGTGGTTCTAAAATTTTTGAACTACTGACCCCTTTTGCACAGCAATTCTCTGAGTGTAACCCCCATATAAATTAAAAATACATTTTTTACATTTAACACTAATTATAAACGCTAGAGGCGAAGCAGGGTTTGGGAGTGGAGGCTGACAGCTCACAACCCCCATGTAATAACCTTGTGACACCCTGAGGGGTCACAACACCCATTTTGGGAACCCTGAATTAGATCTGTGCCCTGTGTACAAAACAGCTGTGGCAGATTGTAGGCCCTTAACACTCCAGCTGCTGTATTTAAGATTTACTGATTTTAAAAATTCCTGTTTAAAATTCTTTAGTTACTAGTGGATTACCACCTTGCAGATAGGCAACATGTAAGGTGAGATTCTGCCTTCCAAACAATTTTAACCTCAAGACTGTTCAAACCCTTAACCGTATAACCAGTTAAAAATATATAGCTACATCAAACATTTTACTGTGCAACACAAAACAAAACAAACCCATTTGCACTAATAAGAGGGTGTAACTTCTTGGAAAGGTGTATTTCATGTTGTGTGCATGCCAAGACACTCCTATTAAAGGAGGTACACAAAACTAGTGATGGTGCCAGGCTGGTAAACAGATTTCCCCAGAGTCCCATTGTGCCCAAGAAATGCAAAAACATTTGAGGTGAAGTCACACCCAGCCAAGATGCTTCCTTGATCACCAAGAGACAAAGGCAAATTATCTGACCTTAGTCACCCAACAGAGGCTAACAATAATGCACACCTCACTCTCATGTTTTAGATTGTAAGATGGCCAAGTGAGGATAGATCTAGCCAGGAAATTGATCAGACTTTCCCTCTCCTGCCAGGCAGGTCCCACAATAGCCAGAGATTTAATTGTCTGCTCAGGTGTGTTGTCCATTAGTCTGAGCTAGGGTTTCATCTGAAATCTCTTGCCAAGCCTGACCAACGGCCAACAATGCTGCAGCAATTGGAGTGTCTCTTCTCAAGCGATAAAAGATCAAGACTTGTGTAACTTGAACTGATTTTTTGTGTGACTCGAGATTTGTATTAAACAAAATGCAAATACTAACTGCATTGTCAAAGGATCCGTTTCTAAAAGGTAAGGGGGGAATGACAGTTCCATGCACATGCTGTAGTATTTCTCCTGAGAAAATTAATACTAAACCATCGTTTTGAAAGACAGACTCTGCTTTTGAGTATTCAAATTAACGGACCTCACAGGTGAAACAAGGCGATGGATCTGTACTCTCCTAACAATGTCACCACCTGATTCTAGATCAGACTTTGGAACAATTAAAACACCCTGCCTCAAAAACATTCTGCCCAGATGTTATGCTGATCCCAGAATGATGGACAGGACTTTAGCCCAGGTCTGTAGCTACTTAGAGAATGTAGACATGGATCAGTTCATCTCACCATTGCCCTCTTCACTGTAGTGCCAGTATGTCAATTTGAAGTGCTCTAAGTCATCTGTGACAGATGCAGTGAGAACATATTTTCATTCTTTTTGCAGAATGAAAGCCAGCCTCAGCTCCTCTGACCTCAGAGTAGGAGTGTGACAAGCCATTCATTCAGAAATCAACCTCCCCATTCAAGTGTAGGGTATTGATGCTCAGTTTATGGATCAGTAATAAATACAAATTGTAAAGATCAGCAGATGGAAAAGTATGAACTTGACTCTCTTCACCCCAGAAGCAGCAAGTCTCATTTTACAGATGGGAAAATTAAGAGACTGAGCAATAAAGTGAGTTGTGTAAAGCCACACAGAGCTAGAAATATAACCCCAAATCTCCACTCAGTTTATGTTTTAACCACATTGTCTCAAAAACAGACACTTTCAGATCACTCATGAAACAGCAGAAATTTGCCCATTCTCACTGAGAACTCATATCTAGGATGCAACGGTTTTAAAGCAGGCCATTTCAATATGACTCCAGCACCATACACACCTAGCCAGAAGTCACTTGAAAAAAGTCAGTCCTACTTTTCTGTGTTGTAAGACTTATGGGAAGTGGTAGAATCAGGATTTTAATGCGTTTTCCCTCACTTTCAAGGTTCCTTTAAAGTCTGCAAACAAAGCAGCAAACTCACGGAACAGACAAATCCAGACGCAATTAGTAAATTACTTTCACTTATTTGGCATGGTTATAGACCAGCATACAGGCTAATGCAAGTTTTGAAAGCATGTTAAGTGGTGGAGTTTGAAGCTCCTTTTCTAAACGTGACTGTGATAAAGGGTCATATTATGTGGTAAATGCACAAATCCAGGGGTCAGGATATCTGGGTTCCATTGTGGAGCAGCCTGAAACACCATATAAATTAGTCTCTTCATGAATTAGATGAATACATTACTATAAAACAAGCATTCATCCCATTGATGCTAATGAAAGTCACAATGTACTTCTAAAATGTTTATAAAAATTTATATCCCTATACTAATTAGGACTGTTTAAGCATACTGCCATCAGTGGGCTCGCAAAGCTATCCTTTGATTTCCTTGCAAAGGGAATAGCCATTTTAATGAGAGAAGAGTAGTACATTACAGAGCTAATTCAAAGTGACAGTGGGCATGTTAGGACACAAACTTGCGTGTCCATTTTATCTACAATGATCAACACAGACATGGATTTGAGAGTGTTCTGAGAATCTTCTATAGCAGGGATTCTCGGATGGGGGGGCTGCAGCTACCCTTCCCTTGATGCTAAGTGGGAATGCCTCCAGACTAGATGGACGGGCCCCCTGATATGGGAAAGGTTGAGATCCACTGTTCTAGTCAAACCAAGAATGAACACAAGTCAGTAAGAACCACAGGAAGTTCCAGCTTGCAAACATCCTTTGGAGTTAAGGAAAACTTGGCTACAGAGGTTTCAGCTTTGTTTATTTCCGTTTCTTTGGGTTAATTTTTTTCTGCAGCTTCGCTGTCTTCTTGGTCTTTTGAGCGGTGCTCTTTACGCTTGTTGGAGGCAGTTTGATGGTTATTTCATCTTCATCAGCTTCTGCTGGTTGCAATTTCCGACGCTCAAGGGCTGTGGGCGTACACACTGGGGTGGGGTCCTAGATAAACCAAATAAGGTAGTTACCATTAGAGGGACAGCTTCCCTAACAGACATGTCCTATATGGCATCAAGCCCGTCCCCCGCCTGATTCCCTGCACACATTGAACAACTGCCAAAAGGTAGCAAGTGAGAATGATTTCTAAACTGGAGAGCTTTCTAAATAGACTACGTCGATTTTGCATATTAAAATAGATATGTGTTTTATAGCAATGGTACAGGGGAAATATGAATTAGATTAATTTTTATACCCTTGAACAAATATCATGAGTTGCTCTAGTTTTTCGGCATTAAGAAAATTATTCCTTGATTCAGAGGGTTAAGGAAGGGAAAATAAAGATGAACAGAAAGTGTCATGAAGAATGTAAAGACATTTAAGAACCAGGGGTATTGCTCCCTTATAAATCCAGAGTCACATTGCTCCCTTATAAATCAGAGTCACATCCAGAGAGACATAACGTTTTTCACATCCCAATGGCAATATTTTTTAAAACACAACCCACTTCCCTGTGCATTTAGTTTTCTTACTTTTACAAGCCCCTCAGATATCTGCCTCTGCCATTTTCACAAGAGACAAGCCAACCTCACCCCAAGTATCCAGAAATACCACACAGCACGGTTACCTGCTGTGACCCTTCTTTCCTGTGGATCCAAATAACAACACTCAACCCCTCACACACACACAGCTGGACCTTTCCAAGTGTATATTAAAATGGAGAAGGCTGAGGTGCAGTGTTCAAAACTCTCATTCTGACAGGTCTAAGCAGTAGGTGAAACCTCAGTGTTCTTTAGACTTTTGGACTGTAACATGTGGAATCTCAAGCATAGGAATCTGACTTTTCTGATCATATCACTATTCGTTTTACATGGCTGATGGCAGCTCCCAACATCTTTTAGCTTATTTATACCTGATTAGCAGACTGCGGCCTGGTCTACACCAGGAAGTTGTACTGGCAAAAAACTTTTTCTGTTGGCCCAGGCTTCCATTCACACACAACTCTGAGTCTTGCTGATAAACCCTCCATGTTTGCTGGCATAATTATTGCCATTTCCTCAAGTGAAATAAACCATCTGTTGGCACAGTGCTAGTGTGGACGCCCACATAGCTGTACGAGTATGAGGAGTCCTCCAGCAACAATCCCACAATGCAACTTTCTCTTTAACAGTGGCTGGCTGGAGAAGAGACCTGAGCTGCTGTGTGCTTTATCCATATTTACAGAGACAAGTTGAAAATGGCATGTAAAAGAGCAGTAGATAATGGGATGGAATAGGAAGTTGTGGAATTTGAGATCAAATTCTCACAGCCATTTGAGAGGAATGAGGGTATCCCACAACATACAGCAACTATCCCACAATACAGAGTGTAAACTTCCTGAAGGGTAGCAAGCCAGAAGCTGGTATGGAGGACACTGGGATGCCTACCCATAGTGCAACATGAGTTTTGATGGTGGTGGACATGATGCATGAGCAGCACAAGCAGCCACGTTTGGTGCAGTCCGTCAACATACCTTATCAGTAACAGTAAGCCAGCAAAACTTCGGCTGGTAAAATTTTCTAGTGTAGGCAACACTTAGGACCTCTGCTATTCCAGACAGCACATGCTGCCTACCATTCAGAAGGGTGCACTCTAACCCACACTGCAACTGTTATTGCTACAAAGTCAGTCTCACCAGCACAACAGGGCCCAGGCTCAAGAAAGTAACTGGGGAACTACAGTAACTAGTCATGTATCTGAAGTACGTGTTCTGGTGCCTTTAGACTGCATGAAACCCACTGAGATCAGCTGAATCTTACCTGGCTGTTCAGAGATATGTCCAGGTTCGAGTTTGAATTTGAAACATTTTTTTTCTTTTGAGGCATCTGTGCGGCCTATGAAAAGAAACATATCAAGCAATTCATTACACAGAATTGCCTTCTAATGCAAAGTTATTGAAATTCTCCTAATGTAGCCAACAGACTTTTCCTTCACAGTTATAAAACCTTTACTGTACCAATTGTTGAACCAGTAAATTGGCCTATCGTGCCACAGAAGTCAAGGAATGTGATTTAGCGTATACATCCAATCTCAGAAATAAGAGAACCCTTAAACGGTATCTTGTGTATTCTCAGTAGATATACAATGGGACCCTGCAATATTTAAGTATTTCATCCCATTGCTTTGTAACCATATGCTATCTAAGTAGAGGAAAGATGGTCCTATGGTTAAGGCACTAGCCTGGGACTTGGAATATTTGGCTTCTCTGCCACAGGCTTCCTGGGTGATTTTGAGCAAATCACTTATTCTGTCTTTACCTCAGATCTATAAAATAGGGATAAAATAGGGGTTGAGAGAGCTGGCATGAAGACAAACATTGAAAGACACAGATGCTTGGGTCCTATGGTAACAGGAGACTTTACAAGTATCTTGGATAGATAAGTAGTGGAAAATAGCAAACAGTGACACGAATCAAAGATAATTTTTCAGGTCAGTCACTATCCTATTAAACAAGTATAACATTAAAGACATTTCTCTAAAAAAAAGCAAGAACAAGGCTTCGTCTACACTACCACTTTTGTCAGTAAAGCTTCTGTTGGTTAGGGGTGTGAAAAAAAACACACCCCTGACTGACAAGTTTCACCGACAAAAGTGCTGGTGTGGACAGTGCTACGCCAGCAGAAGACTTCTCTCCTGCCGGCAATGAGTGGCTACAGGGCGGACCTTACAGCTGTGCCACAGTAAGGTCCGTAGTGTAGACATTGCCCAAGTTTGGCAGAGCGCACAATCCAGCAATCAGTCACTATGATTTCTGTGAGTGCTCACGCTGTCCTCACTGTGATTTAGTCTCTGCACCAACCTCCAGATTACATGTAACATTCTTAGATTAATCTCGTATAATGGATCCAACACTTTCTTCTATTGAGCACAATCTTAGACACAAACTTAGAATTTAATACTTGACCAAGCAACCATAAGAACCTCCACTTACAAATCCAGGGAAGTCATAGTCTATTCCTTTCTCAGCCAGCCTCTTTCGTAACCGTTTCTCATTTTTTAGTAGTCTCTCTGTCATCACTCTCTTCTCTTGGGGTGTTCGTTTCTTGTTATACCGCTTGACTGCCGGATGCGATGGCTTCCTAAATGTCTTATGACTGCCTCTGAAGAGGTTTTCATGGACCTTTTCAGGTGGCATAAATTCACCTGTGTCATAGAGCACATCACACTAAATCAAGAGTTAAGAACGTAAGAATGGCCATACTGGGTCAGACCAATGGTCCATCTAGCCCATCTTCCGACAGTTGCCAGTGCCAGATGCTTCAGAGGGAATGAACAGAATAGGACAGTGGTTTTCAACCTCTTTTCATTTGTGGACCCCTAAAAAATTTCAAATGTAGGTGCGGACCCCTTTGGAAATCTTAGACAGTCTTAGTAATCATAAGACTGCATGGAGTGCATGGGCGGGAGGGGGGGGAAAACACGCATGGAGAAAGGCAAAGAGAATCGGTGATATTCACTTAGAAGATCTCCTTGTGTGCTTTGGTTTCAGAGCAGCAGCTGTGTTAAGTCTGTATTTGCAAAAAGAAAAGGAGTACTAGTGGCACCTTAGAGACGAACCAATTTATCTGAGCATAAGCTTTCGTGAGCTACAGCTCACTTCATCGGATGCTGAAACTCTAACAGGAAAACGCAAAATTTCCCTAACTTCCCAGGAAACAATACACTCACATGCACACATTTCCCTGGCTCACTGGTGTTTCATATACTCACACTTTAGGAGTCTTTCACAGAACAGGTAGTTGTTCATGGTATCTGCAACAATCTTAGCAACTTCATCGGATTCAAACTCTACAAATCCATAGCCTTTGCTGTCTCCAGTCTGCCAGACAATGACAATGGTATCAGAAATCTAGGTTATGTTTACACATTATGTCTGAGAACTATGCTAGATTGTTTTTTCACACTCAAGGGTCATATTCCGTTCTCAGATCAACAAAGACAACTCCCAGTAAACTCAGTAAGCATTGCACGTGTCTTAGGGCAGAATTAGCCCTTGATGACGTACAAGACAGACTCTGTAAAAGCTTATCTTTATGTGAAACAAATAGCTCTGCATTATGTATTTAGGGAAACAAATATTACTTAGCTTTTTAATTTTGTTATATTTGTTACTAAGTAAAAGTTATGCCATGAGGTGAAGGGGCATTTCCTCTTTCAGTAGATGGGATCTAAAGCCAGCCACTTGTATTACAAAGTAGTCAGGAAGTTTAAAAGCACTGTCCCTCCTGTTATATTCATTCAGAATTCTACACTGGATTTAGACTACTCTAACGTTTCTCACTTAAGTGTGTTTGTTCTGATGAAAGGGGCTAGATTTACAGCACTGGAATTGGAGCCCTGTTTAAAAACAGAACCAGGGGCAACTTCCTCATAACACCTGCCTATTTATCTTTATCTGGAATGACCACCTTTATGGCAAGAGGTAACAGCAAGTCTTTTCCCTGTTCTGACACTGCCAACAGGGTTTCCGCTTCAAGTGATACCTCTACACTACAAAACGGATAGAACCAATAACTTGTTACTTATAAGTCAATGATGAGACTTCAAAATACAGTTATCTTCAGTAACCCTCTGAGCTGGATTCAAACCAGTAACTTAAATTCAATGTTTTAAAGCCCATGACCAAAGTTCAATCAGCCTCTGGAACAAGACATTATAAATATCCAAGTAAAAGTCTACTTCTGAGGCAGTGAAGTTTGTGTGAAACCAATCAATGGCTTTAGAAGTTAGGAAATGGAAAAAACTGAACTCCTGAAGATCAAACATTTGTGTGTGTTCTGAGAGGCTATCATCATTTCCAGAATGGACAATTAGAACACAAGAGCAGGGCTATTTCAGGTTTTCTCAGACCCTGGTATAAACGGCAAACCATTTTTAAAGTCTGTGTTCCTCCATATTGCTTTTATACATTGGCTGGTGTGACTGCACATCAGTAAGATTCTCAAGATAGAAATCAAGAGAAGGATGTTGTCCAGGATGTGAGGATTTCATAATGTTAAATGATCTATCATCCAAGTCCTAGCATTGATAACTATGTTCACTGATTTGGTTTGTTCAGCACATAAAGCATGCTCTGCACTTTACAAAACCCTGCCCCACAGATCTTAAAATTTAATTATCGACATGAACGAAAGGAAAAACTGAGGCTGTGGCAAAGCAGGAGAAAGGGAAGAGGGGTGCAACAAGAATATACAATATTTTGTCGGTCATATGCATTTTTTGGTGGCTATATAAACTTAAAGTGGGCAGAGGGAAGGGCACAAAGACAGGTGAGAACAGATTTTAGCAGCTGCATTTTGGATGGACGGAAGGGAAGTCAGGGAGGCTGGAGAGAAGGTTGCAACAATCAAGACTGAAGATAAGGACAGAGAAAAGTGCTTTAGCCATTGAGATAGAGAAGAATTGGATTTTTGAAATGTTGTGGAAGTTAGACTTCGTAACACCCTGGCAATGTGGGAAGGAGTGAGAGGGTGTTAAAGATTAATCCAAGGGTCAGAGCTTCAGTGATTTTGATGATGGTGTTATCCACACCTATGAATAAAGACAATGGAAAAAGACCGCTACTTCCTACATCTTAATGTAGGATAGGGCCTTGAATGAAGTTCAGGGAAACGGTAATAAAAAAATAATGAGGACACCAGTATGCAGATAGCCCCTGGCCAGTGCTCACTTCTAATGGGGAAAGTTTATTAAATGAATGTGAGGATCTGGTGGAAGTAGAAAAAACTCAGTAATAACTGCAATTAGAAAGCTAAACAATTCAAAGCAATTATGATTTTTACCTTTTTACTTCTTGAAAGCCGAAGTCGGGTGACTGTTCCAAACTGGCTGAAGTACTCCTGGATTTGTGGCTCATAAAGGCCCCTAGGGATATGCCCTAAATAAATTACTCCAGGAGTCAGCTTCTCATGCTGTGAATAGGAAAAGTACAGGTAACATTAAAAACCCAGGAACATTTATGCACAACCACCACGTTAAACACAAGGAGACAAAAGGCCACCGATCAGGTCCCAGTACAGTAATGCCCAGTCTCATCTTCCAAGGCAGGCTGCAACCCTGACCGATTTCCTGTTTTCTTTCCATAGCCAGTTTCCCAGCAGGTACAGTTTTCACCGTCGCAGCACGAATACATCCGCTGGGGTTTGAACGCAAAACCCTCCTGCCCAGTATCTTCCCGATCGCGGCTCTGCGCGACTGTGGACGTTGTTCCTCGACTCCACGGGGGGCGGGGGGAGGAAGACCGCGGGGGGGGGGGAGGGAGACCGCGGGGGGGGGGGGAAGACCGCGGGGGGGGGAGGAAGAGAAGGGCGATTCAATGGCTGTTCGGCGTCTGAAATGTCTCCCTCCGTAGCCGAGCCCCCGCGCCGACACCCCAGTGCCCGCTACACTGACTCGGTCCAGAGGCGACTCCGCAGCCCCAGGGAGAAGGGAACGGAGCCGCCTGGCGAGGAGACGGAGCCCCCGGCCGCCGCCCGCCCGCCCGCCCCGTCCCCCGGCAGGCAGCGCCAGCGCGGGCCCCGAGGGGGCTGAGGCCCGCCGGCGGGGAGCAGGGCCCGGGCTCTCACCTTGGCCCCCCTGCCGGAGCGGACGCGCAACACCTTGTCCTGGAACTCGCGCTGCCGCTGCGGGTCCAGGGAAAGGAGCGAGGCCGAGGGCCCAGCCGCCGCCGCCGCCGCCGCCATACCGCGCTCGCACACCAGCTACACCGGACCACGCCGCCGACCCTGGGGGCGAGCCCAGCCCAGCCGCTTCCGCTTCCGGGTCCCATCACCGGAAGTGCTCTCCAGCCGACTTCCGCTCGCCCGGGCGGAGACGTAGGGCTACAGCGGCCTCTGGCGGCCGGAGCGGAGGCGGCCCCGCCCGCCTCCTGCCTGCAAGAGCCGGGGGCGCTCTTGGCGCGGCCACGTGGGCGCTCGCTAGGGCCCCCCCCCGGCCGCTTTCCCCTTCCAGCCTCCACCTCCCACCGGGCCCTTGTTTTCAGGGACACGCGGCCCCAGCCGAAATGCAGGAGCCAGGGGGAACTGAATGGAGCTGGGCATGAGCGGGGCAGGGCGCCAGGGAACTAATGAGCAAAGGCGTGTCTGCAAAGGGGGCCCCAAAGCTTAACAGGAAAGTGAAACGCCCGTAGGTACAGAGGTGCCTAAACGTTACTCCCGGGGCAGTTCTTCACCCAAACAATCCTGCACACGCTTTAAAATTCTGCATCTTTTCTTTGTCACAAGAACACAGTGTAATCACTCCAGTTTACGTTATGTTGGTAATTTATTTCAAAATACTGGATCTGTCGACAAGTATGGCACAATAGAGACAACAACAACAGGAAATTCCCCCAGGAGTAGAGAATTAAACCCCTGTAACAACCCAGTTCCAGTTGGGGGATGCTGGAAGTGGCGGGGGGGGGGGGAGGGAGTTCCAAAGCCCAGATACCTGCATCCCCCCTCTCCCCGCAGAGCCTTTTCTCCTGCTGATAATATCTCTTAACTAATTATCCTCTCACAGTTTGTATGGCAAGGTCCACCTTCTCTGGATGTATATATCTATGTATATATCTATCTTCTTTCTGTGTGTTCCATTCTGTGCATCCGATGAAGTGGGCTGTAGCCCACAAAAGCTTATGCTGTAATAAGTCTGTTCGTCTCTAAGGTGCCACAAGTACTCCTGTTCTTCTTACTCCACCCCGCCTCTTTACGGTCATGCCCTTCCTCACCCTTTGCCAGAGCCAGGTCTCCCAGGCCCTCTCCCATTGTACAGGGAGATTTTGGAGGACCAGTTAAAGGCCAGGGACCGCTACTGATATTGTAATATTGATCATCATACTTGTTGCTAACAGCAGCCAAACTTCTGGGCCTTTTTGCAGGCCTGTGCAGCCTTAGCATGACTACGCCAGGAAGACTCAGCCTCTTGCTCAACCTTTGTCTGACTCTGCACCCCTCCCTCATGAAGTCTCCGTTGACCATGCTGGGGTCTGTGTTTTAGGAGAAAAACAAGAAGCTTATCTATATTTGCCTTCTGGGATGTGTCTGTTAGGGTCCCAAGGCATGCAGACCCTGCAGGAATACATCTGCCAAATTAGGAATCTGAGGAAACCTCTTGTTTAGCTTTTGAAACTTTTTGCCAGACAAGATTTTTGACAGGTGTTTCATTTGTCTACTAACAAGGATAAATAAGGGGGGAGAGGTTTGGTCTCTTGGGGCTCACTTCATGGAATCAGTTTAGGGCCCTCAACGATAACTGAAAGACAGGCCAATCGGATGGCTGCCACTGTATCACTCAAGAGCCACACCAAACTTCAGTCATTATCAAGGGTTGGGAGTGTTTTACTAACCTGTTGTGGATGTGCGTAAGTGCTTGAAACTAAATAAAGTATCCCTTTAAGTGAGAGCACTCTTGTATTGTACTGTTTTTGCCAGCCGTTTATTGGTCGGATGGCTGTCTCCATTGATTTATTTCCTGACTCCACCTTGCACAGAGTAAGTTACCAAGAGCTTTGGATTGAAAGAACTCTGGGTAACACCATCCCTGGATGGATGAGGATCAAGCCAGGCAGCCAAAGCATGAAAAGCCTCCATCTCCACTGGACGAAAGCCGGAGAACTGGGCTCTGTAGAGTCCAGCGACCCCTAGTGACAGCCAGCAGCTCTGCAGAATTTCCCCAGGAGTAAAATGTCTGAGGATCTGGGCCATATAGACTTCTAATGGGGACAGAAGGAGGCCCATACAGAGTTTCCTCAGCAAAACTTTTCTTTGTCTGATGCCTACAGAAAATGCTGACAACAGTAAGGCCGCCCTGACTAGTATCATCCAATTTACTTGTATTCTCTCTTCTGTCTGTATCCAGCTCTTGTCTTGTCTTGTCTTGAAGTTGTAAGCTCCTTTGGCATAGACTATCTTTTTGTTCTGTTTGTACAACACCTGGTACAATGTGGTCCTGGTCCATGACTAGAGCTCTTAGGTGCTATGGTAATATAAATAATAATTAATAATTTCTTCAGTATAATAGTGATTTAGGTTGTTTGAGTTTTGATAGAATATATGTGAGCAGGTCCTGTGCTGTTCCCTAAATTCTGAGTGGATATGTAGAGTACCCATAAACTGCTGCCCTCCCAACTGTGAGTGGAAAGAAATGAAGAGAGACTGCATGCTCTTTCTGCCCCTGCCCAGCCTACTGGGGGGTGAAGAGAGATCCAGTGAGGCTGCTGCCTCCAGTCAACCTGATACAGGGGGTGAGAGACTTGTAAGCCACCCCCATTGATTTTTGTGTCCCAGGCCCCCAAACCAAGTGAGGGGAGTTAAGAAATGAACGGCTGTCCTCCCCAAGCATGAATAGTCTCTGTGAGCTGCTGTCCCCTGAAGCTTTGGAGTGGGGGTGAAGAGAGACCCCGTGAGCTACTGTCCTCCCCAAAGCTGGAGGAGTGGGTGAAGAGCTATTGCTCCCCCCTCCCACCATAGGGGAGATGGTGAAGACACATCCCACAAGCTTCCAAAAAAAGGGGGTGTATGCACGAAGTGTTGGGGCAGGGGGGTTTCGGAATGAAACGCTGGGGGCTGATTAAAGACAACGTGGGTTCTGCATGGGGCGGCGGTGAAATGAAACGCTTCTGCTGCGGGAGAACAGCCCGAGATGGAGATTTTACACACTTGCTGTCAAGTCACCCGACTGGGCGGCTCTCCCGCTGCTTGTCACGGGATGGGAAGCCGGCCGATAACACAAACAGCCCCCAGCTGGCCGGGAGGGGGGGGGGGGAGCTGTCAGCCCGTCGAGGCCATGGTCGGTGATCACAGTCTGTCCCGCAGAGCCGGGGAACCCAACGGGGCAAAGAGCAAACAGCGCCCCCCGGGCCCCGCTTCTCCAGTGATCGCTGGGGGCCCTGCGGGGAGAGCGCGGCCGCCGCCGGGGCGGGAGACGAGGCACCCCCACAGTTAAGAAACAGGGAACGGGCAGAGAGGAGCGCACTGCGCCTGCGCACACTGGCCCGGGGGGGGGCTACCCCACGGCCTGTCCGAAATGGCTCAAGCGGCCCCCGGCAGGCTGTACTCGCTCTGCAGCCAACTATCGTTTCCTCGGGGTCTGTGTGTGCCAGGGAGTGGATGAGTCCGCTCTGCGCCAGGAGTCTAGAAAGACCCCTAGACGGGCAGCCGGCTGCGCGCGCTTCGGCCGCGAAGGGCTGCGGGAGGGCGTGGAAGGACCCCTGGGCGGCGGCGGCGGCGGCCCAGGCAGCGATTAGGGCACCTTGTGCTCGGGCTGTGGAAGCCCTCGCTGAGCAGAAGGGGTCGCGGCGCGGAAGGCTTCCGAGGCGATGGTAGCGAGCCCGGCACTCGGAGGGGCAGCAGCTCTGCGCCGCGGCAGTGGAAGGACCCCGGAGCCTCTGCCGCGCGCGCCTGTGGAGCCTGCGCCCTGAGCGTTGGAAGGGCCCTGAGCAGCGGTTGCGGCCCCGGCTGGGAGCGGGAGGCAGCGCTGGGAGCGTCCTAGCCCCGGGGCGGCGGCTCCCGGCGTGCCCGGCCTGGCAGCGCACCATGTCGGTCAGCGAGATGTTCATCACCCTGCAGGGGGTCCTCACCGCCGACCAGGACATCCGAGAGGTCGGGGCCCGGCCGGCGCGGCGCGGCGTTACCTGGGTGCTGGGGTCGGGGATGGGCCGGAGCGGGTGAGGGGCGGGCCACTGTCGCACGTGGTTACAGGGATCAGGGCTCGGAGGCGGGCGGGCCTGGGGGGCTCTGGGCGGGAGTTTCTTTTTCCATCTCATGTCCTGACGTGTTGCCGTCGGCTTGCAGGAGATCAGGAAAGTGGTTCAGACCCTGGAACAGACGGCTCGGGAGATCTTAACGCTGCTGCAGGGGGTTCACCAGGGAGCTGGATTTCAGGACAGTAAGTCACTTGTCTTTGGTGGTGATAATGCACAGGGCAGTGTTGTCACAGCGGGAAGACCGCGTCTGCCTCAAAGCGCTTACGTTCTAGGGATACCTGTAAAGGGTTAAGAAGCTAAAGGTAACCTCGCTGGCATCTGACCAAAATGACCAGTGAGGAGACAAGATACTTTCAAAAGCTGGGAGGAGGGAGAGAAACAAAGGGTCTGTGTGTCTGTCGGTATGCTCCTTTGCCGGGGATAGAACAGGAATGGAGTCTTAGAACTTTTAGTAATGTTACGAATTACACCTGGTAGGACACGCACACAAGTGCTACGAATTACACCTGGTAGGACACGCACACAAGTGCTACGAATTACACCTGGTAGGACACGCACAGTTCGAATCTAGGCTGAGGCACAGAAATAAAGTCCACAACTGCAGAGTTCCCAAAAAACACTAAATTTATTACGCTCGAGCGTAGTGCCCCCCAGGCTAGCCAGGAGGGGACCCTGAATGCAGATTATACAAAGGTTATATACCTTTTAGCAAAGCATGTTGCCCTTGTGCATTGGAAACCTTAGCCAATAAACAAACCCTTGTCTTATCTACCACCTATCCCTGCTTGGTGCATTCCTCGTGCTATACCAGTATGTTAATTACACAGCATGGTCCTAAAGCCATGCATCAGTAACTTTTATTATCAGGATGGGAGGCTTCACATCAAGGCCAAGAGATAGGGAGTTAGAGACTGACAAAAACCAGATACTGGGAGTCAAGGCAGGCTGGAGACAAGGAGGAGGATTTTCACAGGGATTCAGTATTTAAGGATTACTCCTCCTGGTGTATGATGTGCTGGCATGTAAACAATGGTGGGCCCCAAACCAAAATGGAGTCACATGTACTAA